ATATTTAATATTTTTATGTTTTTCATTATAGTGAGGTGTTCATAGATATTTGACATAAGTGGAACAGATAGTAAGGGGAAAATTTTCTGGACTGTGTGTCAATCAGAATATCAAGTGGAAGAGATCCACAACAATATATAACATGTCATTTATATTCATTATTATTTTTATAGTAACCGTATATTCATTCCTCAGCACGCATAATAAATAAAAAAGAGACTGACGAATAAAGCTCTCATAAAAATATTAATGTCAAATTAAGACTTTTTAACATTAATGTTTTCAAATTTCAGCATTCATTCTATCATATTTAAATATTAAAGTTTTTAATTTGACATTAATACTCTTATAAGGTCCTTACTTATCATTCTCTATGAATCAAATGTAAAAATATATAATGATAAATATTTTTAAAAATTGAAATATTTATTGTAGCTTTCGAAAAATAATAAAACAATATATTGTGAAAAAAGAATACATATAATTCCGTTACCTTATTAGGAGGTGCCAATATTTAGTCATGACAGTATTTCAGACAAATTTGTCACTGAGAAGTGGATAGTTTTGTGCAAGGGAAAATATATATATATATATATATATATAACAAAAAGATATTGTTGTGTTTAATTTAATGAAAAAATAAGATACCATCAACCATTTTTCTACTCTGCAGCCTCTTCATCCATTATTATCCTTCTCCTCTGGTCCTTTTAATTTAATTTCCTCAACAAATGGAAAAATCAAAATCAAAGTCCAAATTTTCATAATCAAAAGTGTCAATTTCCATAATCAGATACAAAATCCAAATTCAAAAGCAAAGCAAATCAAACTCAACTGAGAAACGAAGACATTGTAAAGCAACTTGAGGAGTAATTTTTTGGGAAGAAAAAACAATGATGTTATACAAGGCTGGAAAAAATTATTCATAATGATCAAATTTTAAACTATTTATTTCTAATAACCAAGTTCACGTATTTAACATTCAAGTCAATCACAAAAAATTGCAAGTATCCGGTCAAACATTTAACACTTGAGATCCTTAAAAATAAGAAAAGTGATAGCTGGTCGACAACTAAACACAAAAAAGGTAAAGAAAATTATTTAAAGGGGTTTTTCATCAAGTAACTATAGCGACTACAATATGTTTACTTTATAACGGTGGTCCAAAATTTTGTTACAATTTAATAGGATACTATTGTCTTTGACTTTAACCAAAAAAAAAAATTATCGTAAGAGAAATTACTGTAAATGGTGAATATATTAATAACGACTGCAGAGCCCAAGGCAGAGACCGCCTTGAAAAGTTACTAGGCTACGAGCCCTTGGATGAAGAATATACAGACACGTGTACTTGTAAAGAATAAAAGAATAGAGGCTTTGAGCCTGTTACATGATCTATTGGGCTTCTTTGCTGTATTGGGCTTCCGTAGAGTCTGCTTGTTGTCGGCTTTCTCATGGGCTTTTGCTTCTTTTGTCTTAACATTGTATTATCTGAGGGACACTTATCAAAAGCAATAATTGCTTTATCGGAAAAAAAAAAAGGGGCAATAAATTGTCTAAATTTGAGGCCATACTTTGCAAAACTTGTTGCCTATTGTCATACAATAAGGTGACAGTTTTAAAATATATTTTTTATAAGAATAGGCAATAACTGAGAATTGTTGAGTAAATATAGAATAGATAAAATCTAACACACATCCTCTAAGTCATTAATTCCATATAAATAAATGTAAAAGATAGAGTTGGAGAAAAAGGAGTTGCACATGAAGAAAGTACGCGATTGATGCTACTGAATTTCATGCATGAAGTGGACGAAAATCTGATAAGAATAGGAACACAAGTTGGAAACTTGGAATTGAAGAAGAGGACACAGAGCACAAATTGTCATATAGTATTGTCCCAGCTCGTGTAGGAAGGACGGGACAAACATAAACACATTAAGATAACAAAGATGGTATGACATATATAATTATAAGCTTGTTTAACTACATATGTTCTGACCTTCTTGAATATGCCCCTTATTAAGTCTGCAACAGATTGGCATATTTAGACATGCAAATAATAAAATTCAAGAAGCATGTGAGGCACTACAACCACAAGTGCAGTTAAATCGATATGTCAAAACCTCCCTGATAAATGCCTTTCGGTTAAAGCAAAATTTACTGGTTTGGTGATTTGACTTAGCATGTTCAAGAAGAAAACTCCAAATGCGTGTCTTTTTTTTTTTTATAAATGATATAGTTTTTATTACATAAATAAGGGAATAAATTAACTACAAACTTGAGTTATGGATGACGACATTGAAGTTAAAAAGTTTTCACCTAAATAGGAGTAAGATGAAATATTTACATTGTAATTTTAATAAGAGGTCAATTCGTGATAATTTAAAAATAAAATTAAAAGATCAAATCATACTTAAAGCAGAAAAGTTTAGATATTTGAAAGCTATTATTCAACATAATAGAAAAATTAAAGGGGGTGATGCACATAAGATACAAACTGTGTAGTTTAATTGAAGAAATGCTAAAGGAGTTATTTATTATTAAAAGGTATCTAATAAATTTAAAGAAAAGTTTTATCAAATTGACACAAGACCAATCATATATGATAGTGAATGTTGGGCTTTAAAAGGTCAGCAAAAACATAGGCATAATAAAGTTCAAAATCAGCATATACAAGAAAAAGTGGGTATAACATTTATTGAAAGAAAAAATGGTAGAAAAATCATTTGAGATAGTTTAAATATGTAAGGAGAAGACTGCAAGAGGCACTAATGAGAAAATTGAAACAAATAATCTTGAATTCTATAAAGAGAGATAGAGGAAAGCAGAAAATAAAACACTTATGAAACTTGTTAACCAATACCTCTTAATTAATATTTTAAAAAACTTGGTAAATAATAATAGTATAGTGCAATTCATATAATCGACCTTACTTGATGAGATAAGCCTTGTTGTTGTTGATGATATGAAAGTAGAATTTATTTCATATTTGATTACAATCATTTTGAGAGCATATAGTGCCTCTCAAAATGAGTAGAAGATATCCAAAATAGCTTTAGAAAATAATTATAAATTTTAATTTTAATTTGTGATTTCTGGTCATTCAAAATCACGGTTAAAGCTTATTATTAATTGAAAACAAACAAAATTCAGCCAATTACCTTGATTGCGAAGGATTGAGCCAAGTTTAACCTCCAAGACTGCATGGCAAGGGCAAGTGTGCAGGGAAACAACCATAGATGAAATAATTGATGTTTGGACACAATGACAGCTTGCACGCCAAATACTAAATGGCATGGAATGGCCATTCATTTGGGACTTAAAAAAAAATAAAAATAAAAAAGTTTGACGGTCATTGAATGAATGAATTCACCAATAGAGAGCTCATTGAAGTCAACAATAGTTTCTCGGCCTAACGCCTTTTCAAGCAATTCATGCATTATTTACGTAATATTTGGTTGGCAGAAAAATATTTTTTGAAAGAAATTAAAAGTAGAATTGTTGATAGGAATCAAGGGATAAGTAAAAATCTAACATTTAGCACTTTTAATTTATTACAAGACATTAGAAGATCAATAACTAGATTTAGAATTAAAAGAATAAAAAAAGTTTTAAATTCACTATTTAGAGATTTTTTGAATGGTCAGTGAGTTTTAGAAGGGCCTAGAAAAACTATTAGCATATGGGGTCTAATCCAAAATAGAAAATAGTCAAGTTCATAAGTTCAATTAATTTAAGTAAGAGAATATTCTTTCTTAGGAAATTGATTTAGGTTTTATCTTGTTTTAAATTCAAATTTTAAATTCAGACAAGGATAAAATATATTCATTAGGATATGATCTATCTATCCATTTAAAATTCTAGATTAACTAAGATTACATCATTTAAGTTTTTTTAGAAGAGACTTTTATCTTTATTTAAACACTTAAGCCATTGTATTTTATAGACTTGATTGGATTAATAAATTAAATTTTCATTCAATTATGAGACTAATTCAATTATTGTTGTTTTCTATGCGATAACATGCCTTGAAATTTTAAATTATCATGAGTTATCATTCAATTGCTTCTATAAATTGTAGTTATGACATTTTTCTTCTCAGTACATTTCTCATTTTCTTATGAAAAGCACTTTTTCATGACTCAAGTATATATTGCCTTAATATATTACTCTCTCTATTATAAATTATGAGATACTTTTAGATAAAATCACACATTTTAATAAATTACATTAAATACACCTTGCAAGCTTACTTTTTAGAGATAAAAATATAAATTTTTAAAAATATCCTTCATTTAATACTCCAATTATGAAAGAATATTAAATACAAAAAATATATAAAAAGGTAATATTAAAAAAATATCATTAATGAAACTTTATCTTTATTAAAATATTTTATATTTTGAGATGTTGAATATCTTTAAAAAATAATTTATAATTTGAGATTAATGTAGTATTAAAATTTTTGAATTCTATTTCTATGTTAGGACTATTATCTTTATCAAAATATTTTATATTTTAAAATGTTGAATATCTTTAAAAAATAATTTATAATTTGAGATGAATGTAGTATTAAAATTTTTGAATTCTATTACTATGTTAGGACTACTACTCCGGTTCTTGATATAAGGTGAAGTTAATCAACTTTGCGTTTAGTCAAGGTCGGAATCTTCCGCCATCTTCATTCTTCATTCATGTGGGGAAATTGCATGTCGTTGGCCTATATTTTCTTCCTTGTTAATTTTTTTGATTTTGAGGAAAAGTATGATGGGGTGAGAGAGGCTCGAACTCTCGACCTCAGGATCACTCAGAAGCTATGAGACCTACGCGCTAGCCAACTGCGCCACCACCCCAATGTTGAGGGGAATACTTCAATTATTTGATATAAGTTTATTAAATGTGGCTTCATTTTTCTTGTCCGTTCTCACCAGCCGAAATAAGTGCCTCTTCTCAGTTAGCGTGTGATAGCTTCTTGTCACTCTGGGCGTGTGAGAATCTCAATGACCAAGTACAGATCTGCGCTTAGAAGGTAATGCGACAGCTTTGTGCTTGTTATTGTCACTCGCATCTGTAGTTTCAAATTCACCTTAGTTTACATTGAAATCTGCGTTTAAAGCTTCGGTTATCTTTCTCTGATTACCGGACGAGAAATCCCGTGACCGTAACTGTTCTCTTTCTAGTTTCTGCTGTTTTATTGCTAACTTTTTAGTCCTGTTCTGCCGAATCCTTCATGCTTGTTGTCTGAAAAGTTTCTTTTTGTGTTTTATTTTCATTTCATTGCTACTACTTTATCTTGCAAAGGTATTATGTTGCGGCTTCTTAGTTTAGCAATTCATTCAAATGGCCTTAAATTAGATGAATTATGTGCAGTTAGAGCTGGCTGATTGCCTATCTTTCTTTTGCAATGACTTTGAATCAGTGGAGCGGGGATTCGTGGTGACTTTTACTGATGCTTTTGCTCGCTACACCCACAATATAATGTATGCGTTTTTAAGGATCACTTGACATGCGTGGCTTCTAGTACTCATCTTAGATGATGTTAATTGTTGTCTACGTTATAAAATATGGTGTTGACTAATATTGATCCTATTTAATCGAAAGGATCACTAGATCATTTGATGCAAATAGTGCCGTATGGGTCACAACGGGCTACAATTAGGGCTTGATTGCATGAACTATCCTTAAGACAGCTTTAGGAGTATTTTCCAGACAAGTAATGCCGCTCTACTTGACACTTTAGAAGTATCATCTTCAGTGTGGTCTTTGCACTAATTTAGATCTGGTTATGGTCATAAGATTGATCAATAAAGGAGATTTCGCTTGTTAGAATTGTTGGGTGATCAAGAATAATGAGGTAGAGAAAGGAGCGGGAGGTTGATTTGTTTAAGAATATTTGTTATGCTTGTATATTTGAGTGATCTGAAAAATGAATTAGAATTTAGGAGGAAGTAGAGGAAAAGAAGATTGAGATATTTGATGGGAATATTCTGGGGTTTGCAATATCACTGTCTTTGACTAGTAGTATAATAACTGTTTCAGGGGTCAGAATTGCCAAGAGAAGCCTTGTCATTGAGTTTGTAGAGCAGCCAATAGAATGCCAACAGGTATATAACAGATTAAAGACAACAGAGAGCTATATCAAAAAAGAAAAAGATGCTAGAGAGCTGTCAATAGGAGAAGAGCCTGAGGAATATTAATGAGGTTGTTGCCATGTAAGAGTTCTAGAAGCTGTCCTGATCAGAGGGTTTACTAGTAGCCTGGATTGCTGCAATATTTCACTTTGCTTCCTTTTTGAGTTGTAGACCAATGTTTGCAAGATGGGCAAATAAAAAATCCATGCTCCATCATATAGGAGAGAGTTAAATGATCAAGTTCATGAATAATTGATTGAGTTGATTAAAAAAAAAACGTAATTAACTTATTAACAATAGAAAGAGGCAGAGGAGTGTTGGCTAATCTGCAAATATGATTGAGGGAGCTATCAATGGACTAATCAGAAGTGCATGATATTGAGTGATTCCAGGGATTTATTATGGAATGCCCTGAAATTTGTTGTATCATTCCCCTTGCTGCCCAAATCTACAAGTGTAAATAAGAGGTTTAGGGGCTAAGGTTGAAACTTTACAGTTTTCAACTTAATCTCATCTCCCTTCTCTCTCTTGCTGTTAGCAGCATTTCTTCTTTTTTAATTAGCAGCATTTTTCCTTGTTTCTTTATATGCCAACTCCTCTGAAAAGTGAAAAGCAGAATTTCAAGAGTTGCCATTTTAAAGTCACTCTGAGGGGATTATTTTGTTTGAAGGATATTAGTTGCTTGATGGCATTAGTTTTAGTTTAATTTTGTGTTATATTATCTTATCAGTGCACATGATAACATCGTATGTCATGCTTAATTCTTCAAACAAAGCTCCCCCCCCCCCTCAACTGTCATGTTCAGACAACTATCAGGTCCGAAGAAACTTATTATCTCTACCTCTTTAGGTTTTAATAACGTGTTTCCATTTGTTTTCTTTCATTGTTTTGGTGGCTCTTTTCTAAATGGGGAGACAGTGGCTTGCCAGAGAAGTTGCTTCAGTCATACTGTGCTTTAGGGCATTTAGTTGCAACGATGTCCTTTGTACATTGGTTAGTATATTATGTGATTAGCTGGGATGCTGGGGAGGGTAATAAAGGATGTATTAATGTAGACTGAAAATTAACTTACATTAATAGTAAGTATGACATATCTGCATAAAGAGTGGAAGACATATAAAATCATTGTTCAGTGTCTTATTTAACTTGATGTCTGCAGATGCTAACCCGATGCTGAAAATGGAAAACAAGCAAACTGTGAGTGCTGGTGGTACACAAGATAATTCTACGATGAAGCTTATTGACCAAAGAGCACATATTAAAGGCCGAAGTGACATCCTGACTCGACGCCTAAAGAATCGAGAGCGTCAACGCAGATACAGAGCCCGTAAGCGTCTTGAAGCTGAAACCAAGAAGTCTTCTGTGGTAAGAGACATTACACCCACGACACCACAAGAAGAACCACGACCAAAAGGCAATCAAAATTTTATGAGCCGCGTATATTGCAATAGAGATTGGAAAAAAGATGCAAGACGGGCTCATGCTCATAGGCGTGAAGAGGTGACACCTAATGGATCTATAGATCATATTTCAAAACTAACCAGTGAACCTGAAGCAGCATACCTAGCCTCTGGGAAGGCAGAGCTGACGCAGGAAATTGGAATCCAGTCTGGATCTCCTGGTGTTGTTAACAATGAAACTCCTAGAACTGTACTGAGTCGAAGAGATTGGAAAGCGGAAGCTAGAAAAAAGAAAAACTAGTATTTTCCCCCTTTTTAAAAAAGATTCACGCTTCCCAGTGGTCTCTTATTGTACGATAGACATTATATAATGTAAAATAATGCCTGCATTAAGAAATATAATATCACATTACCACTGATTACCTAATGTGTTAAATACTTGAATTTTAATGCGGTTCGTGAGAGGAAGTTATTCCATGTAATTCTGCCAACTTTTTTCTGTTGCAGATGGAGAAGAGCATTGGAGACATGCCTGGCTTAGTTCAGAATCTGTGGTCTTTTTCTAGCAAGAACCATATCAGAATACCATCTTTACAGAAAGTTGTGAATCGTTCATTAAACTTCCCTTTGTGATAAGTGAATAAGGTTTGATGTTGCATTAACCATTGCAAGCAATCATCAGGTCATCGAGAAACAAAAGAATCAAGTTACATGTGTCTGCCTCTGCCATTTAACTGTTTCTTCCAAATCCCAGACACTGTCATTTGCGTCCATTAATTTGTATTGCGTTGCTGCTCTCTTAAATAAAATTTACACATAGAATGTAATTTTCGTTGCCAAAGGCTTAAAAATGTAATGCGGAAATTGCTCTGCAAACTCGATATCTAAAGAATTGGTGGTGTGAAAAAAAAGCAGCATGATGAATTCGTATCAAGCGCTTGAAACACCGATCTACAATGCACAAACCACCCTCCCCCCCCCCCTTTGAATATACGTCTTTTGAGTCATCTCGCGCCAACATAAATGAATCAAGATATACAAATGAATGAAACACTGAAGAAGGAAGAGAAAGAAGAAAGATATGAATGGTTCTGAATTTGTTGAGACGTTTCATCAGTTTAGCGACACATGACTCCCTCTTCATCCTTGCCCGCCAAATCCTCAAAACTCCAGTCTCTTCTTATCCCAGGGCTCCTCACCAGCCTTGGCTCGACGCTGCCCGGAAGAGCAGCAGATCCCGTACTGTGAGCACGCCGATGTTCTCTCTTGATCTTCACCAAAAGTCCTCGTGTTTGGCCTTGATCTTCCCGAGCAATATTCCCTGACCATGTTCTCTCCACCGGCGTTCGACGGACGTTCCTAAGGCTGGCCTTTTCTGAGGCATACTCCCTGTACGAATCTGTCTTTTCAAGAACCTGGCTGCAGGTAAGACAGCTTAGATTCATTGTTGTACGTACGTTCCAAGTAACCAAATTAAGCTCTTGTTCTTGAACTAAGCCTGAAAGAAGGGCTCTTGATTATGGAATAGGATTGGAGGGAGATGGTGGGGAATGAATGAAATGGGATTTTGAAACGTGGGTTATATAAGTTATATCGAGGGGATGAAGTATGAGAAGACTATTCTATTAGCTGGGTTTGGATGAGAAGGTGAATATATGAAACTGATATTCGTTAACGTAAGGACAATGTCTTGCCATGTTTAGCCATGATTTGGGTATATGGTTTTAGTCATCACCGATGATCTTTGACGGTTGACCTAATGCAAACGTTTTTCATCTTTTCATTTCAATGACAAATTCTGGAGTCAACTGAATCCGTTATCTAAGTGGTTTCGATGATTGATGAAACGATTATTGAAAGCATGTCAGGTCGGAAAGTTTCATGGCAGATTGTCTGATGTTGTACGATCCTATCTTATTTGTTGCTTTTTTGTGGTCAAACTATCTTCATATCTGGAATAATGAAGATTATGCAATTTTACAGCTTTGAGATGGATTTGAATTCACTGGCTTAACGCCGTATTTAACACCCTTTGCTGTAAATTATACTTCAGATTGTTGCGCGATTCAATATAATTATTGTTAGGTATTTATTCTCAGGCGTTTGAGTTAACTTTTTATCCATATAACTAAGCATAGGTCATTTGCATTCTTGTCAAACGCAATGTTAAGATTTTTAATTTTGCATTTGAATTGTGGTAACAAAGATCTATATACACATTAAAAAAATGTTTGAATTCTCACTGAGAGTTTAATGCACAACCATGTAGTGAACAAGATTTTCTTTAATAGAGGACACCTGTCACCAATAAAAATACAAAAAACCTTGCTAAAATGAAAACTGATTGTGTATAAAAAAGGTAAACTAATTATGGCCACAATATTACTAATTACTAATGTATAAAATGGAAGATTGGATACACACACGATAGAGATACTACAAGTCGTTTATTTGTGACACTAGATGCGAACATTATCATTTTACTTGAATATTTTGTATAATCATCCTAGTCATATGGTTTCAATATGATAAAAAAATGTAAATAATCAATTCCGAAATATATAAAAACTAGTAAAAATTGCATTCTTGAGATATATATATATATATATATATATTAATTATTCATGCGCCTGCCTACTAGTTTGTGACATGTTATCAGTGTTTTTGGCGTTTTGCACCTTCGAGCCATTTTTTGTCCGTACTGAACCCAGCAAAAAAAAAAAAAAATACAACAGGGCACAAACTTCATGATTTATCGGGAAAAAATTGATTTAGTGATGAAAATATGAAATTTGTGAGAAAACATTAATTTCATAGCTTGAGTTAAATTTAATGAGAAAAGTGGTGAGATATTTTTATTTCTCTCTAATTAGCGAGTCCTAGGTTGTTCCTTTCTAATTAGCAAAGCATTTTTATTCCTTTTTATATAGTGAGAAAATTAGAGATTAAATTAGCAAGGCCCATTTTATTCATTGATAAAATAATTCTGTGACCAAAACAAATTTATTAATATAATGGAAGTTCAAAATTCCAGAGAGATGCTATGCGTGGCCATTTACTTACCAATGCAAAGGACTTGTTGAAGATAAAGAGCAGATTTCCGGGCCAAGTACGGCCTTAGCAAGCATCATGCCTGGCTTTAGAGCTGCACAAATGACTAAATAATTTTAAATTTTGGCCTAACTTAAAGTTTGATCTCTTTTATAAAAAAAATTGTGTTAGATAATCCATAATCTTGTCTTATTCAATAACAACTTGAAGATTAACAGAACCGAACTTGATTCATAAGATTGAGAGAATAATCCTGTTAGTCCAGTACTCACTTAGTTATTTTTTTTCCTTTTTTTTATGAAAGGTAATAATCCATTTCAACTTAAAAAACTTAATTAAGATAATAAAAATACTTATAATCATAATAAATTCATAATAGTGTCCAACAAGAAGAAAAAAATTTCAATTATAGCTTAAATGATTTAAATTTATAACTTTAACAAAAACAACACTTAACAAACTTCAACAACACTACATTATGATAATAATTTAGAAACAAACTCAACAAATTTTCATGCAATTATTTCCTTAAAGTCAATTATACTTAAAACATTTGTCAAAAATAAATTAATTATAATTATATTAAATAAATTAATAAGACTAGATTAGACTAACTAGTCTAGATGCTCAGTCTCTTATTCATTCTAACCTGAAAAAATAATCTAATTTTTTTATTATTTTTAATTTTAAAGAATCAGTATTTATACAGATCAAATAGGATAAGATTATCTTGAGTTAAATTTGAATTGGACTGGATCATATGACTTTTGCCCTGCCCTACCTGGCTTCACCATGTTCCCTTTTGCACCTCAACCGTTGCGGGATATTATTTTGACGGAAGTATCGTATTGGCTAATATTGGCCTGGTTCGTCTTTTGTCATAAAAATTATAAATTATGAACTATAAGAAAAAGAGTAAACGTGAACATGTAATGTATCTAATTTTTCATAAAAATATTTAAAGTTCTTGTTTAGATTTGGTTGATACATGTTAAATGAATATATATATATGTATATATATATCCAAACATATATGGAGGGGTAAAGTGGCCTCACGTGACACATGAATTCTCAATTATTAATTAATTTTATTATTAAGAAATTTATAACTAGCGAAGAATAGATAATGAAAGTAATGAAAAATCTATCCCTAACTCGCTAAAATTTAACAAGGGATTAAGTTTTTAGATAAATTGGTCTATTAGCTAAAAAAAATTATACCATAAAAATATGAACCAAATTTTTAAAAATTTAAAAATATAGTCAGTTCAGATTAATATACATGGGATTTATTATGAGTATATAAGAAGTGTTTTATTAAAAATTTATAATGAATTTATCATTAATATACAACAATATATCATTGATAAATATAATAAACTAATTATAATGTAAAATATAATAAATAAAAGATTATTTATTTGATTTGATTTTATAACATAGGTTATATTTGCAAAAGCTCTTACATTTTTTTATTAATTTAATAGGAAAATAACTTGTTTCTCACTAAAATTCATGAGCCCTTTTTTAGCAATTGAAATCAGTGAGGAAGTTTATTCTTCCCTAATTCCATATTAACAAGGAAAAATAATCATTTAGGGAGGATCATTGTTTTCTAATAGTGTTTTTGTAAAGTTGATTATTATGACATGGACATATATGCTGCTCCTGTTCACCCAAAAGATGCAGCTCATCTCCGTGAAATATCCCCAATTTATCTTATTGAAATAAAAATTTGAAATATCCACGCTAGATGACAAACAAGATAATATTGATGAAGAATATAATAATATAATAATATAATATGCTTTATAACGTCAAATGAGTTCAGCCATGTAACATGACATGATTGTCTCATGTCAAAAATCGACTCTTCAAATTTATCATAATTGGAGTTACCATCACTTCACTGGAGCCCATTTTGTAAACATGGAAAGCCAAGTTTAACTTTTAATATATGGAATTGTAAAGTTTTTAAAAATTTAGTTGTGAATATATTATAAATGAGTTATAAATCTCCAATATTTGTTCTAAATAAATTCTTTTAGGATACAAAATCTAAGTTCATTTTTACATGATAGATGTAAATCTTCAACAGATTTAATTAATGAGTAGTAAATCCCTGAAAGACTACTTGTACATGGATATTTCAATTTACAAAAGTCCAAATATGATATTTTGATGCTATAAGCGTGTAAATGTCAAACCATCATGATTATTTCAAATACATGAACCCATGCATGGCACTAATAAATTTCAAAAAGTAACGAATATGTCATAAGCGAGTTGTAAATTTTGAGAGAATCGCTTGGAAAATATTGACAGTAGCGATGATGGTGATGGCTGTGGCATGGGGTCGACGATGGTGGCAACCACAATTATAGAGGAAGAGTGACGAAAATAAAGCAGGGCTATTTTAGTGGTTATGATTTGTCTTTTTGAAAAAGTTTTATTACATTAAAAAAACTTGAAACATGAATAATGCTATTTAATTTTAAAAATTGGATTAAAGGGAAAAAAATGCTTAATAATGTTTTCACTAAGAGCATCCGTATTCTTAAATCAATAAAAGTGTAGGAGTAGCTATGAAATTTTTTTAAATGAGGGCATCTTTCCCTGAGTCATTAAAATAGCTTAACATTCATTAACATGTGCCTAAGATGTTGGGTTAGAACCAGTAAGTGGGATGAGCCAGATTTATTTTGATCAAGTTTTAAGTATCTGAACATATAATTTTATTTTAGGATTGAATGAAAATTTTGTCTCTCAATTATTCTCTCAAAAGCACCTGATATTTTAAAATTTCATGTGATGTTTGAAAATGGTGTATTGAGTACCCTGCCATTAAAAATAAATCGACTGTAATTTATCAAAAAAAAAAGAAATTAAAAAATTACATAAAATTACCCATAAAATAAGTATCCTATAAGAAAATTACTATCGATTAAACCATGTAATTTATATGTAATATAAGGGACTTAATTAATAATAAATTTCTTGTAGGGTACCTAGGAGTAATTTTATTGATCTTTTTTTATAATTTTTGATATCTTTTTCTATAATTTTATAATCAACTAATGGGTAAAATTAAATTTTTTAATGTCAAGATACTTAAAGCACTATTTTCAAAAATTGAGAGAGAAAATTGGACCATATAAAAGTTTAGGATAATAGATATGTGAGAGAGAAAGAACAAAAATGCATAATCTTTTAATGTTAAAGGTAGTTAAGGATTTTTAAAATAAATATTTAAATTATTTTTAATCATTTTCTTTTTCCTTCCTCTCCAAAAAATTTTAAATTGGAGGGGAGAACTAGGAGAGGAGGAGACCTTTTTTTTAAGGAGCTCCCCTCTCTTTATTAAGCACTAACCAAATAAAAAATTAGAAGTAAATCCCCTCTCCTCTCCTTCCTTCCCCTCTAAAAATTTTCAGCCAAACACACTTTAAGGTTATTAAAGCTTGCTCATTAAATTTGGCCTAAATTACTAACTTTAATATTTCACAATTTATTAAAATGACTTGATGTTAACATTTCAAGAACAAAACTTAATAAATTGAAAAATATTAATCCATTTTATAAAGTTAAAGAGTGTCCATATATTTTATGTTTACTTTCTTTTTTTTAACCGGCAATGTCAACAGACATCATTCAAAATTAACATGATTGAGAAGGATGCTCTTATTAAAATAAGTTCATAGGTATCTTTTAGTTCGCAGAAACTTTTGCCATACCCAATTGAAAGAAATTAAAATGTCATTATTTCTCTTCCAAGGTAGCCAATTGTCATTCTTCCTTTAATCTGGTTGCACATTTAAAATAAAGGGCAAAATAATGTTAATAAGAAAGGACTTAGTTATGTTATTATATTATGATGACTTGACGGCCGTCACGTGTAGAAATATTATTGGATCTGGCCGTTTGTCATTAATGTCTAAAAAGTGGGTTTAGCGTATATAATACTTTGGCCATTGCTAAAGAAAGGGATTATTAATTAAGTACCGCTTTTGGTGGCATCTCTCTTCATTTTTCTGTAATTTAGGTCCAAATCATTCTCCTTCTTCTCTTTAAGCAACCTATCTTCTTTTCTATTAACTAAATCTTCAATCCTCCACACACACACTTATATAGGGCATACAAAAAACTGTTTTTGTTAGTTTTGCAGGAAAAATATTCCTTCTGGAATCATTTAATACGACCAACCAAAACATCCGCACCTTAAACAATCATTTAAAAAATAAAAAAATCCAATCCATTATAAATAAAGTGCATAATATCTTTTTTTAAAAAGTACATAATATCTTTAGTAGATTTATATGACACATTAATGTCTTAACTTGAGTACTCCTTTCATTTTATCATATTTATTTTTTAATATTATTGTAGGCAAATTAAGAAATACAATTTTTGTGTGTGTGTGAAGATATGATATGTTTTACTAAATTTACCTCTCATTTAATATTTTTAAAAACATTATAATAATAAATAATACTATTACTTCAAAGTAAAAACAGGAAAAGTGTATAAATACTATTTTGAAACTGAAAAGATTAATAATATAAAATAACTTTTTTCTAAAAAGATAAGTATAATGAACTGACTGAAAGAGTTAAATCAATTAATTTTAAAATTTTCAGTTAGTTTTAAAATATACAGTCATATTAAATAAAAATATTAAGAGCATCTGATATTGATTAGACTATAATTGAAAATAACAATATAATACAAATAGAGATTTGATTAGTTTGAACTTTGAAGGGTAATGCCAAGATATCAGACCATGTAGGAAAAAAAAAAAAAAGTTTGCGGGGACAAGAACTGTGCACGTGACGTGCAAGTTAGGTTGATCTCATAATGTTGTTTAATTATTCTCCTTATTCTGTCTTGATAGTGAGAGAATACGTTTAATTATTCAGCTTAATCCCAGGTCCGATAAGGAATCGTTAAAGGGGTTTAAGGTTATAAATACAGTAAATCCCCTCTTGGATCTTTGGTTGGGCATTTTAGACAGTGTTTTGAACCAGTAATAGCCCCACCTATGGATCTCGTTGATCTATTCTAAACATATACAAGGGAGGAAAGCCTCTTCCGCACCTCTTCAAATTTAATATTTTTATTTAAAAATAAAAAATTATATAAATGGTAAAAAAATTTAACAAATCTTTTCATCAATCTAGACAATTTAAATTTAATATGAATGAACCACATTTAATATTAATATTTTTATAAATTAACTATCCACATATATGTTTTGGATTGTCCAAGGTTAATATTAAAATTTTTTATAATTTTTATAAATTTTTAATATTAAATGAGGATGATTAGTATTAAATCTAGACTATCAAGAGTGGTGATTAAATTATTATTTTTAAAAAATTTTATAATTTTTTATTTTTAAAACTGTAAAATAAAAAAATAAAAAACATTAAATATGAACAATTCAAATTATGCGCCACCTCATGGAGGTGCGGAGGGAAGGAAGTCAACTCCAAATATAATGAACAAATGCTTTAGATATGTTCAAAAAAAAATCTTTCCAAAAAGTCCCTAGTGATTTTGTTAAATGACATCACACCTTAATTCATGATAAATAAATAAAGGAAAAAGTAGGAAAAAAAATTATGCATCAATCATACCTCTACCTCCAATTTTGTTAGATTTTGAGACAAAAAAAAATCCAACAATTTTGCGTGAGTATTGATTTTGTGTTGGTAGGTGATGAAAGGAAAGAAGAATGCCATGAAAATCAGACTAGATTGGTCAGTTGAATTGTGAACGATCTCTAATCCATACTAGTCACTATAGAAAATCAGTTAAAACTAGTAAAATTGGCAAGAAAATTGATTAAATCAGACATATTATTTTTTATTTTATTTTTACTTTTAAAATTTTTAACTCATATTTCTAAACTATAATTTATACATATTTATACCTAATAAACATTATGAAATGAAAAAAATGCAAGAAATATATATGAATCATGCATGCATGCATGTATTTTAGAGTTATAAATTATAAATTATGAAATAAATTACATATTTTGAATGAAATTGATGTAATGTTGATTGATATTATCTTTTTTATTGTATATTATTTTGTTTGAAATTTAAATATTCATTTTTATTACTATATATGATTATTTATTTTTACTTTAAACATAAATATTTAAAATATATATATGAATTTATTCATAATTAGTTGAATTATAATTCAGACCACGATCATATTATTGAATTATAAATTAACACCTCGATCGGTGTAATGGTCCATCCGATTTCAAGAACTTGGAAAGAAAACAAGGAGGTTGGATGGCAGAAGAATAATCCTAGCAACTGTGCTTGATCATGATATCAGCCTTCCAATCTTATTTACAAGACTTTTTAATATTTTTGTTGAAATTTAATTTTTTTAGCATTTTTATGATACAAGAATCGAAATTTTCGTCATTGGGTGACCTGTGTGTGTCAGAGAGAGAGAGAGAGAGAGAGAGTGTGTGTGTGTGTCTTTTGAGGGGGGGGGGGGGCTCCAGTACACGAAGGCATTTCCAATTTTCTACTTACTTTGAGCGACACATTAACTAACAGGATTAATGCTGCAGCAACACGAGCAGTGATACCAAATGTCTGATGTTAAAATGAATGCGCTCATCAGTACCGTAAACTAAGTGTGCCAGAAGATCCTCTTTCGGCTTCTTTCCCATCCAACGTGAAAGTTATATATATATATATATAGAATCATTTTTATAACTCATACTATTAAAAATTTATTGTAATTTTTTATCCTCTATCACATTAAATTTTAGGAAGAATGACAAATAGATTTCAAAGGATCAATTCATTGTCTTTTTTATTAAAATTTAAAAAATAAATTTTAAATTCATAATAATAAAATTGTAAAATTAAGAGTCGAATTTGTAAATTCCTGAAGGTTGATAATTTAAAATTGGTTGAAACTTAATTTGAATTAATTAGTTTTCTTGAGAATTATCTCTTATTCTCCATAAATTTTATGACAACATAAAGTATTTATATACTCCACCAGTTTTGATATAAAAACTGTATTTAACCAAATCACATATACTGATAAAAAAATTATTTAGTTAAAATCTCATTAAATTACAATAATTTTTCAATTTTACCTTTAAGAATGTCAATTAATATCATGGTAATGATGGATAAAACACACAATATATATATATATATATATCTTATCTTCTTTCAAAATAAGGGCAAAATTATTTAATTATTAAAAAAATATCATAATAAAAGTATCTTTTATATTTAGAGACAAAACAAACTTTTAAAAAATATTTTATATATAGAGATAAAGGAAGTATTTAATAGGGATGGAATTAAAAAGTTATTAAATTTTTAAATATAATTAATAAATTTTAAGATTTTTTTTTAAATTATAATAAGACGTTACAAGGAACTTGTAAATAAAACAGAAGGGGGTAAAAGAGAAAATTAAGAATGAGATTGCCAGATCTATTTTCCTCTTTTAGTCAGACATAATGTCATAAACATGCATCGAATTTAGGACACCGTTAAAGACGATGAATCCCACACAATAAATGGAAAGCAGCTTGTGGCGATTCAATTCAACCACCAATCACTACTGATCAATTATTACATTTATTTCCAGCCAATGAGGGAAGCCAAAACCACCACGAGGGAAAGAAGAAGCCACCTCTTCCCGGAACACAAAGCAAAACCTCATGTCCGACCAATGTTAAGGGCAAAACAGGATCAAACGCTTTTTTCTTTCCATATTCCTACGAATCATGTCGGTGAATATTCAGTGTCCGAGCTGAAATGGGCGGGATTGAGGCGGGGTCAACACTTCACTGATCTGCAATTGCCATAAGAAGAACCCCAAGAAGACACTGCGAAAAACAAAAACGACGAGCTTTCCCAGTGCGAGAGCAAAGTCAAACACGAAAATAGACCCAAGACGTGGGTGCTCACAAAGAAACAAGCACCAATGGAAACAGAAAGGGAAAGGTTTAAGCATTTTTCACGTGGCTGAAAAGGAATCGCCATCACTATGTGCAACCAAAACCCAATCATAACACACAGTCTTCCCAACACATTTCTAACTCTAAAATTTTGATCTCAGACCAAGCTACTTCAACAGAACTCATACAGACTCGAGAAAGTTTCCGTCTCACAAGAAGCAGCAGTTTAAATCTTGAAATTTTGAATTACCATGAGGCTCTCCATTTCTAACAAAATGAAGAACCCATGATCGAATAATATATAATTATATATATTCCTAGTAGTCGCTGCTCTACAGGTAAGATGGACAATACGCAGAGATTTGATGAGGTCCAGATTTATGACAATATATGTACAATCTAAACAGCCAATATTGATACAAAATACTCAGCTTTCACTTCATCGGAGCTACCTACTTTTGCCCATCACATAATCCATGGAAAATTACCTCAGAATTAAACAGATATAGCTACCGAAACAGATAATGGAACAGTGGTTTTTTTACAGGGATTGATAGCTGCCGGGAAGCCTTAAAATCGTCCCAGAATCCTATATCAAAACCTATCCCCATTGTTGTGGAGGATGATGAATCTATCGGGCATCTCCGACCTTGGATGCGAGTGCTAACCGGAGCTGCTCCTGCGTGTAAAATCGACTCCCCATCTTCACTGTCGCTTGTTGGATCATCAGGTCATTAACGACCGACACGCTCGCGTGGTTCACTTCCAGGTCTAGCTCCTGTAAGGCGGCCATCAATCTTGCTGCTGGGTGGTTCCTCTTGCTGCATTGGATTCGAATCATTGCATCCCACCCGATGATCTTCACATCGATATCCAAATCTATTAGCTTGCTGTTTGCCTGGTTGTTGGAGGCCTTTCGCTCTTTATCAGGTGAAGGCGCGCGAGAATCTTTGCTAGTGGCCAGCTCGAGTTCCTTCTTGACAGAATCCAACTGCTTCTGCAAATCATTAGTGTTTAATTCTAGATTCTGGATCTTCGACTTGAGCTCGTTGATGTAAGATATGGCGTCGCCCAGGAGAGATGCTTTGTCCATTTTTGACACGTTTGGGACCACCGCACGAAGTGCGTAGAACCTCTGATTCAGCTTCTCTCTCCTCTGCCTCTCTGCTTCCACGTGATTCAGAGGCTCCTCCCTGCCATTCGCCGGCTTTCGCCCTCTTTTGCGAGGTCGCTTTTCTAGTTCTCCCACTCTGCTGCTATCCGCTTCCTTCACCACCGAAGCTTCGAGATCCGAGTGTTCAGAATCTCCGCCACCGCCGCCGGTGGACTTCATATTAGAAGCAGGCAAAATCACACCGGAAGTGAACGAGAGCATTCCTTCATCGTTACTGCCCTTGGAAGTAGGTGACTTCCTCTTTTTGTTGTCTTCTGCGACGAATGGACTCTGCCCTGTAAAGAAATTCCCATTTCCACCATAAGAGTTCCTCTTGCTCTCCCCAAAGTTCAAAATTTCACCTGATTCCGGCTTCAAGGAATGCAAATTCTCGTTCTTTAGGCCATTTCCGTCTAGCCCATATTCCGAAAAGTTCAACTCCTTCGAAAAGAACCCTTGGCTCTGCGATTGCTGTGCCGCTTGCCGTTGCTGGTTACTATATTGAGTGTTCGGGACATGAACAACACTTGGAGCTTCAGTTAAAGTACTCGAAACTGGGGTTTCAAACTGCATTGGCTTTGCGATTGTCTGAATATTGTGACTGTTATTCGAGCTTGGAACCGAAGCCGGAACAGTAGTGTTGGTCGAATCTCTGATTTCAATTCCAGAAGACGGATCGTTAAGCCAAAGCGAAGAAGGGTCGTTCTCACCTTGATCGGCATTAGGAGCCATGAGAGGCCACGAACCAATTTCTGGATTGTTGAAATTGAACCATACTTTCACCTTGTTCATCAGATCCGAGTTCTGGAAAATCAATTCAGTGGATCCTAACTCCACCACCCCGTTCGCCGATGGTATGCAAACCAAAGTCCGAAGCCCGAACACCTGGCCCTGTCTCGCTCTTTCGCAGGTTGAAGCCGCTAACCTCTCCCCACCGGTGATCCAGACCGGGGCGGAGTTGTAGAAGGCCTGACCCGGCAACCCGTCGCCGTTGACAAACGATTGAGTCATGGAAACGAGAAAGAACCACTCCGTATCGGTGACTTCTTCGTCCACGGCGTCGTCGCTGGGAGCAGATGATCCAGAAATGAGGGAATTCAGCTCGCGCAGAACCTTTTTCCGGTGTTCCTGCTCCGCCCGGGACGACAGCGTTTTGGCCTTCCCTTTTCCTTTATCTTCCTCCCCCTTGTAGTACCCATCGCCCCAGCCGAGGAAGGACGAGCCGGAGTAGTCGTACGACGATTGCCAGAAGATAGCGTAGGTCCAGCTCTCTCTGGCACCTTCAATTAAGGCCTGGAGGCGCCGTTGAAGGGTTTCTTGATTGAAAAGAGAAGTGGAAGACTGAAACTGAGAGAGGGGCTTGGTGGGGTCAGGTCCAGGAGTAGTGTTGGAAGCAGAGGACTGGGGCTGAGGTGGAGGAGGCCAGAGTACGGATAGGTCGGAGCTCATGAAAGCCTCCATAACGGAGGAGTTGTCATCGGTCCAAAGATTCATCGTCGGCGGCGACCTATAGTCCGTCATTCATCCACAGGTTTACCCTAAGAAGCCTGAGAGGCAGAAAGCAGAGAGAGAGAGAGATTGTGTGTGTGCGTGTGGTGGAAGAAGAAGCGAGGGACGGAAGAGAGTGAGGCAGCTAGTGGTTGAGGGTGAATTTGAGGCGGATTGGATTTTGCAGTGCATTTGGTTGAATCTTAGGTTAAAAAAGAAGGGACACAGTGGGCAGAACGGAGTGGCGAAGCAAGAAAGAAAGTGGCTTCGAGGAAAAAGGCACGCCGATTTAATCGGAGACATGGACTGAAAAGGACGGCGTTTTAATCCTTCTCACGATACAGGTCAAAACAAATCCGATTAATGTAAGATAAATTTCCTGCAGGTCCCACAAAAAATATTATTGTTATTATTAAATTTTATCATTCATCTGCCTCCGATTAATATGACGTCGAAAGTGGTCAGCTATAGTTACTTTGTCCCAGGCAAAGATCGTTGCCAGAATAAAATTCTCCCGTGAGTTTAACATATGATGAGGGATATTTGGGTATTTAAATAATGTGCTTTATTTTATAAATATTTTAAATACTAGGATAGGAAGATTTGCAACATGCGTTTGCCATGAACTATGAAGTGAACCCTAGATATTTCAGGCCAAAAAAAAAAACACTGGTTACAGGATATCTACAAGTTTTAAAAGATTGAATCTAATTTAAAAAAACTTAATAATTCATTCCTATAATTTTGATTTAGTTAAAATTTAATTCCTAAATTTTAACTCTTCAACTTGATCTCTATAATTTTGAATTATTGTTATAGAGAAACAAATTAATCTTTAAATTTTCATTCTTACAACCCAATCCCTATAATTTTACTTATTTATAATATTAGTCCTTACATTTATAGAATAAAATTATTATTAGAGCCATTAATGCTTCTAAAAAGCTAAAACTATATGGGTTGTACTCAGTTAAAATTAAAGAATTAAATTACAACTGAGTTAAATTATAAAAAGAACTTAATTATATCGAATTAAAGTTTATAACTTGAGCTACAATTGAATCAATCATTATGAAATATGCATGTTATATTTTACACAATACTTTCTAATTTTATTTGAATGTTTGCATTTAACGCTTATATATAATACTTCGTGGTTATTTTATTTCAATTTATATATTTATTTAAAGGTAAATGAGACAATTACTCCGTAAACAAGGTTTAATAGCACTATAAATCTTAAACTTGTTTGTTGTATGAATTGATCCTTCAACTTTTGAAATAAATTACAAAAAATAACCTCAAGAATTAAAAGACACACACGCTTGTGTGTGTGTGTGTGTGTTTTTTTACTATTCAAACATTTATAAGTGATTATTTTAATATGAACAATAATATGTTCATGATTAACCAAAATTAATGAAAATGCTTGAAAAATATATTTATAACATATTTTTTATTTAACATAATGTTGATAAGTTATAAATATTGAATGAATAAGTTGTTAAGAAATTGAACAAGTTGAGTTTTAACTTTTTTATGTATGAACAAGCCATTTTAAATATTTATAAATGATTGTTCAAATATGAACAACAATACATCAATGACAAATCACAACCCATGCAAATGCTTTAAGAATAAATTTATAACATATTTTTTTATTTTAATATAATATTGATAACTTGTTAATATTAAATGAATAAATTGTTAAAAGATTAAAAACATTTAGTTTTAAAACTTGACAAGTTTTTTCTGTATAGACAAGTCATGCTCGAATATTTATAAATAATTGTTGTGATATAAACAATAATATGTCTATGATTGGCAACAACTTACATAAACTCACAAAGGTTGTAATATATTCTCCTTGGTTTTATTTATAAATTATTTTCAGCATTTTTACTGAATTAAGAAAAATCTTCAATCTCATTAACTCTATCTAAAAATTTAACAAGCTTTAAATTTTACCCTTATTGAATATACTACTTGAAAAAAAAATATTATGACATTTAATAAACATCCCAACATTTAATAAGGACAAATAATAAAAATAAACATAACAATCATTGTGTATATTATAATTTTGTTTTATATAATCAAATGGATTTGGTAGTTCAAGGGTGAGATACCTTTTGCACTGCCAAAAAGTTAGAGGCTCAAATCCTCATTAACCTATTTGATCAAATTTGACCATCGGAGCCAGAACTCCAATGACTAACACTGGCATGATAGCTTTGGTGATTGCCAACAATGATACTTTAAAAAAAAAAACAAGAAGAAGAAAAGAAGCCAGCCATTTGCATCATTTCAGCAAAAAATTTAATTTGTATATTTGTTATTTCTAAGGGCCATTACTGAAATTCTTCCTATTTTTAAAAAGTAATATAAAGATATTAATATTACAAACAACTACATAATTGAGTTTTTTAAATTTTTATTTTTGAATATTTCAAAAAATTGACACTACATTTTCTTACATCTTGCATGTAATGTATTGATATGCCAAATGAATATTAATGTGATATGGTATTTAAATCTTCTAAGATTGATAATCAATATGTTTTATAAAGTTTATCACCTCTGTCAAAAAATATAAAGTATTTTAACTAAATCTCATCATTCAATAAAGTAATTAATTATCTTTGAGTTAACACCATTTTTTATATTTATTCTTATTTATTAATGTGTGTCACTTTAAAGGAAATATAAAATGATTTATTTATTAAGAACATTTTTAAAAAGACACAATAATTATGCATTAAAACATTAAAAATATCTTACATTTTTTAATAAAATGAATAGTTTTTTTAATAAATAGAAGGAGGATTTTATATTTTATAAAAATAATAAAATGAGTACAAATATTTAAAGATAAAATCTCCACATAAATTCATGAATCTCAATTTCAGAACATTTAAATTCATATGATATGTCATGCGTACTTTCGGTAAAGGTATTTTACTTTATTTTAAATATAGGCACTACATATATAAAAGGAAGAATGACACTAAATTCTCAAAACAATCAATTTATAACAATTAGATTTTCAAAAAAATTCTAAAAATTCAATTATAAATATTGATTCAAGTAACCATAAAATTAAGAGTTCTAACCATAAATAAAACACTTAAATTACAAATATAATTCTCAAGTTTCTGTTGAGGTTCCTATTTATTAATATTTGTAATTTATTTTTTAAAATGTTTTATTGAAAACTTAACTGTAATAAATTCTTAGTTTTTTTTTCCATATTTATTGTCCTTCCCACTAAATAGAACTGGATATTTTGTCGCTATATGCGGCCCAATAAATAGAGAGAATATTAGCAAATCTAACAAAGGGAACTGCAAATATTGTGATAAAGACGTTCACAACCTCCTAAATATTATTCCCCCCAATCCTATAAAAAAAACAAATCAGTATCCTTTTTTGGCCTAAGTATATATAAGAAACAGCTATTCACTGTGTTTTGTATTTACTATAATTTCATCTTCTACCTGCATTTACATGAGCATGCTTAAATACATAGTCACAATTTCAAACAATTAATATAGGTATTTTTGAAAAAATAAATCTCATATTTATTTATATATGTAATTATTTATTGATTTTTATTGTATTTCTTGGTACAGTTAAAACGATTATTTGTTTTTTTATTCCCAATAATTTGGAGGGAGTAACATGCTAGACCTCCAACACAATGTATTGTGAAATATGAATCATGCAAAGGCGGCAAGGGTTTTATTTTGAAACAAAGTTTAATGGCAATATGCGGCATTCTAACTTAATTCATCTTCATTTACTTGTCCTGATTTGTTTTTAAATTTTATTCTAAGTAATTGTCCTAATATGATATGCTAAGTGATGTGTGTGCCTTGCATTATTCTCATTCTATTTATAAGTCACTCTTGATATTTTTGCTAAAACTAAGAAAGATTTTAAATCCTATTAATCCTATGAAAAAATTTAATAAGTTTTAAATTTTATCTCTATTAAATATACATATTTTAAAATAAAATAGTCTAACATTTAATAACATTCTCAACATTCAATAGAAGCAAAAAAGTAAAAATAAACACAATAATTGTCAAAGTATCTTATAAATAGAATTAAAATAAACACTCTCATATTCTTATTATAGGGCTCTTTTAACTATCTCATTGGAACTAAGTGGGTAATCAAGTTATTAATTTTATCTAAAAATATAATAAACTTTCAATTTTACCTCTATTTAAATGAAAATTTTTAAAATTTGCATTTCATTCCCTCTCATAGTTAATGAGTTTAAATAAAAATAATATTAAAAAATATATAATTAATATCTCATCAAATATTTTATATTAAGAAGTAAATGATCTTCCTAGAAAGTGCCTATAATATACTCCCTCTAATCCAAAAATATTAACATTTTTTTCATTTAATTTTAGTTCAAAATATAAGTAACACAGTATATATAAAAAAATTTGTATCCCTTTTAACCTTTGCATTTATTAACATAGATCATTGTGTAAATTTATTTTTCATTTATCATGAAATATATTGATAAAAAAATAATATATATTTTTATGAAAATAAAAATTTTATTGATTTGCAGATTTTTTTTAAATTTATTTATATTTTAGACAGGAGAGAGTAGACTAGAGAGGGAGTACCCAGGTTGTTAAACTCACAAATTTAAATAAGTTTGTAAAAGTTTATTTCTATTAGTAAATAGCCATTAAAAATATATGATTGAATAATTTAAATATAAAATATGATCATAATTTGATTTAACTATATTTCAAATATAAAATATTGAAATTAAATTCATCTATATTGATCATATTTAATATAAAAAATTTAAAATAGAACAACTTATTTTGGCTTTTTTATTAACATTAATTTTTTACATTTTGTGCTTTATTTTTCTTTTAACCATGTCCTACCTCTACCATAAATTAAATTGTGCATAATATATACTTAACTAGCTCAACATGATAAAAAAATTGATGAATTTAATGAGTTTGCATTCAATCCAAGTTTATAAATAAGTTGATATAATCTTATAAACTAAAAGCATAAAAAATAAACTTAAATTTAGAGAATTAACTCATAAATTTAACTAAATTTATATTTAATTTAAGCCTAGGGTGAGCTGATATAATTTTATAAACTTGGAATGCAAAAATAATCAACTGGCGAGTGAATTTAAGGGTTTGACAATAATAAAAAGTGCGTTATTATAAATAAAA